GCTTGCGTGTGCTTCACCACTTCTGTACTCGCGCCGCCGATCTCTCTCTCTCTCTCTCTCTCTCTCTCTCTCTCTCTCTCTCTCTCTCTCTCTCTCTCTCTGCGGAATTGCAATCAGTTGCTTGCTTGCGCGTGCTTCACCAATTCTTTATTCGCGCGGTCGATTTTATTTCTCCCCCCCCCTGGATATCTGGCTGTTTTGCGGAGACCAGGTGGCAGGCTCGGAAGAAGCCGGATCGGCATCGTGAGCGGGATCGTGCGTCCTACGGCGATGGCGCCGCACGGCGAGGCGCACACGGTGGCGAGTGGTGACGGCAACGGAAATTTCACCAGCATGGTGGCAGAGATCGACCCCAAGTGCATTGTACCTGAGGAGCACAGAGCCACGGAAGCAGATGCATCGTCCTTCGATGACAGCGTGGAACGGAGCGTACCTGTAATCGACATCTCCGCGCTCGTTCAGAAATCCAGTGATGAATCGGCAATATCGAGGGTGGTTGAACAGATAGGAGCAGCATGCAAGGAGTGGGGATTCTTCCAGGCGATTAATCACGGTACACACTTCCATCTTCGCTTCCTCTTCGCTTACCTCTGTACCCCTACCCACGTGTGGTCGTGTGTTTAAAACTGGTGTCTAGCGTGCGTCTGCCCAAGGGACGTGCATGCGTGTCAGTGCTTCGCATAGCCCTGCATGTTCTCTCTCTCTCTCTCTCTCTCTCTCTCTCTCTCTCTCTCTCTCTCTCTCTTTTCCTTTCTTTTTAACAAGGTAACAGTCCACTAGTACCATCTTCCTCGGTCCGAAAGCTGTTCTTCTTTGTTTGTTTGTTTTTTTGTTGTCGTGCGGGAGACGCGCTCTGTCGATCAGTGCACGAGGCACGTGGCCCAGCAAAAGAGGATGGGGAGAAAGAAAAAGAAAAAAAAAAAAAGAAAAAGGGGATTAGGATGAGGCGAAGAAGAAGGAGAATCGTTTTTGACCGCGCACCACTGAGAAAATCTAAGAGTCTCAGATTTTCTTAAGGCCTGGTCGACAACGGGTCTGGCGTTTGGAAACAGAACTTTCCTGCAATTAGAAGAACGGGTTTGGGGCTGCACTTTTTTGGCACACCAAACCCGTTCTTCTAAATTCGGTTGCAGGCCTCACGTTTCTGCCAGCGTCAGTTTTTTTTATTTTTTATTAATGAATTAATTAATTAACTATTTATTTATTTGAAGACCCAAACTGAAACGGCATTTTTCTGAAGTTATCCCTTTTTTAGGCAATCGAATCCACCAACCACGCAACGCTCAACGCGTGAAACAGCACATGTCCCTCTGTTGCTCTGTCCGTCTGTGCGTCCGCTCGTCGGTCTGTGTGTCTGTATATGCATGTATATGTATTTATATGTACGTACGTCCGTATGTATGTATGTACGTACGTACGCATGCATGTATGTATGGATGGATGGATGGCTGGGGGCTGGCTGGCTGACTGGCTTGCCGTCGGTGAGAGTTCAGAATTGCATGCACACTGCTCAAATGAAACACTACGTCACGTCCG